GCTGGGAAAGATTGAGGGCAGGAGGAGAAGGGGAAGACAGAGGATGAGATGGTTGGATGGCATCACCGACTCAATGGACATGGGTTTGGGTAAACTCCAGGAGTTGATGATGGACAGGGAGACCTGGCGTACTGCAGTTCATGGGGTCTCAAAGTGTCGGACATGACTGAGCGACTGAACTGAACTGATATACCCTTCCAGACATTTAAAGTTTAAAAGTTTTTGTTTTGTGCTCACTTCGGCAGCACATATACTAAAAAATAAAAGTTTTTGTTTTGTTAAGAATCTACTAGAAAGCCATTGGAAATGTAATTGAAATTAGTAAGAGTGAGAATTCTAAAATGTAGTATTCAAGGGTGCAGGCTGTGAAGATGAGCACCCTTCGTTGGAATCCTGGCTTGGCTACTTTCTAGTCCTGAGACCTGTGGTAAAATATCTCTCTCTGTACCTTGGTTTCCCCACTTGCAAAAGGGAAGTATGAAATGGTACATATCTCAGAGAATTCTTGTGAGGATTAAGTGAGATAATCTGTGTGAAGATTTTGAAGTAAGCCTGGTACATTTTAAGTGTTCAATAAACATTAAGGAATACACAGGAGATGTAGAGAGACTGTGTGACATAATGAGAAAAATTGAGTTTGAACCACTTGCTGGCTGAATGAATTTGGGCAGATGCTTAACTTCTTTGATCCTCAGCGTCCTTATCGGGATTGTTGTTTACAAGGCTTAGAGATAATTCGTGTAAAGTACCTGATACAAAATAAACATCCAATAAAATTATTGTAGCAATAATGAATAAAGAGTTAAGCTACTAACATGGTGCAAAATAACACAGGGAAGAACCCCTGAATCACCTATACTCTGTAAAGTGTAACATTTGTCGTGGAAGAACACCAATACAATCAGAAGGCCAGATTTGAATCTCGTTTCTTTTATAGAACTAGAACTTTAGGTAGTTTCTTAAACTTGTCATTTTCTTCATTTACAAAATGGACATAAGCACAGTAACTGCCCTGCTTTCTACACATTTTTTTTAAAAAGATATAATTTACCATAAAAATCACCTTTTTAACGTGTACAATTCAGTGGTGTTTAGTGTATTCTCAAAGTTGTGTCACCACCACGTCTATCTAATTCTTGAAATTTTTCATCACTCCAAAAAACAAACCTTGGGACTTCACTGGCAGTCCAGTGGTTAAGACTCCATGCCTCCAAAGCAGGGGACACAGGTTCTATCCCTGGTGGGGGAACTAAGATCCCCCATGCCTCTCAGTTCAGTTGCTCAGTCGTGTCCAACTCTCTGCGACCCCATGAATCGCAGCACGCCAGGCCTTCCTGTCCATCACAAACTCCCAGAGTTTACTCAAACTCACGCACATCAAGTTGGTGATGCCATCCAGCCATCTCATCCTCTGGCGTCCCCTTCTCCTCCTGCCCCCAATCCCTCCCAGCATCAGGGTCTTTTCCAATGAGTCAACTCTTCACATGAGGTGGTCAAAGTACTGGAGTTTCAGCTTCAGCATCAGTCCTTCCAGTGAACACCCAGGACTGATCTCCTTTAGGATGGACTGGTTGGATCTCCTTGCAGTCCAAGGGACTCTCAAGAGTCTTCTCCAACACCACAGTACAAAAGCATCAATTTTTCGGCGCTCAGCTTTCTTTATAGTCCAACTCTCACATCCATACGTGACCACTGGAGAAACCATAGCCTTGACCAGATGGACCTTGGTTGGCAAAGTAATGTCTCTGCTTTTTAATATGCTATCTAGGTTGGTCATAACTTTCTTCCCAAGGAGTAAGCGTCTTTTAATTTCATGGCTGCAATCACCATCTGCAGTGATTTTGGAGCCCCCCAAAATAGTCTGCCACTGTTTCCTCTGTCTCCCCATCTATTTCCCATGAGGTGATGGGACCAGATGCCATAATCTTAGTTTTCTGAATGTGGAGCTTTAAGCCAACTTTTTCACTCTCCTCTTTCACTTTCATCAGAGGCTTTTTAGTTCTTCTTCACTTTCTGCCGTAAGGGTGGTGTCATCTGCATATCTGAGGTTATTGATATTTCTCCTGGCAATCTTGATTCCAGCTTGTGCTTCTTCCAGCCCAGCGTTTCTCATGATGTACTCTGCATATAAGTTAAATAATCAGGGTGACAATATCCAGCCTTGACGTACTCCTTTTCCTATCTGGAGCCAGTCTGTTGTTCCATGTCCAGTTCTAACTGTTGCTTCCTGACCTGCATACAGGTTTCTCAAGAGGCAGGTCAGGTGGTCTGGTGTTCCCATCTCCTTCAGAATTTTCCACAGTTTATTGTGATCCACACAGTCAAAGGCTTTGGCATAGTCAATAAAGCAGAAATAGATGTTTTTCTGGAACTCTTTTGCTTTTTCAATGATCCAGCGGATATTGGCAATTTGATCTCTGGTTCCTCTGCCTTTTCTAAAACCAGCTTGAGCATCTGGAAGTTCACGGTTCACATATTGCTGAAGCCTGGCTTGGAGAATTTTGAGCATTACTTTACTAGCGTGTGAGATGAGTGCAATTGTGTGGTAGTTTGAGCATTCTTTGGGATTTTCTTTCTTAGGGACTGGAATGAAAACTGACCTTTTCCAGTCCTGTGGCCACTGCTGAGTTTTCCAAATTTGCTGGCATATTGAGTGCAGCACTTTAATAGCATCATCTTTCAGGATTTGAAATAGCTCAACTGGAATTCCATCACATCCACTAGCTTTGTTCGTAGTGATGCTTTCTAAGGCCCACTTGACTTCACATTCCAGGATGTCTGGCTCTAGGTGAGTGATCACACCATTGGGATTATCTGGGTCGTGAAGATCTTTTTTGTACAGTTCTTCTGTGTATTCTTGCCACCTCTTAATAACTTCTGCTTCCGTTAGGTCCACACCATTTCTGTCCTTTGTCGAACTCACCTTTGCATGGAATGTTCCCTTGATATCTCTAATTTTCTTGAAGAGATCTCTAGTCTTTCCCATTCTGTTCTTTTCCTCTATTTCTTTGCATTGATCGCTGAGGAAGGCTTTCTTATCTCTCCTGGCTATTCTTTGGAACTCTGCATTCAAATGGGAATATCTTTCCTTTTCTCCTTTGCTTTTCGCTTCTCTTCTTTTCACAGCTATTTGTAAGGCCTCCTCAGACAACCGTTTTGCCGTTTTGCATTTCTTTTCCACAGGGATGGTCTTGATCCCTGTCTCCTGTACAATGTCACGAACCTCCATCCATAGTTCATCAGGCTCTCTGTCTATCAGATCTAGTCCCTTAAATCTATTTCTCACTTCCACTGTACAGTCATAAGGGATTTAATTTAGGTCATACCTGAATGGTCTAGTGGTTTGCCCTACTTTCTTCAGTTTAAGTCTGAATTTGGCAATAAGGAGTTCATGATCTGAGCCACAGTCAGCTCCTGGTCTTGTTTTTGCTGACTGTATAGCGCTTCTGCATCTTTGGCTCCAAAGAATATAATCAGTCTGATTTCGGTGTTGACCATCTGGTGATGTCCATGTGTAGAGTCTTCCTTTGTGTTGTTGGAAGAGGGTGTTTGCTATGACCAGTGTGTGCGTTCTCCCATGCCTCTAGGCGCAGCCAAAAAAAAAAAAGGAGCAAAACCCAAATCTCATTCTCTGTTTCTCTCCTTCTCCAGTCCCTTGCAGCCCTATTTTCTGTCTCTATGTATTTGTATGTTCTGAAGAATTCATATAAACTGAGTCATGTAAGATGTGGTTTTTTGTAACTGGCATTCTTCACTTAACATTATAGTTTCAAGTTCATTCATGTTGTGCCATATATCAATACTTTATTCCTTTTTGTGACTAACATTCCATTGTGTAGATATACTACATTTTGTTATTCACTCATCAATTGATGGGACTGTCTCCATTTTTTTTACTACTATGAATAATGCTTGTGTGAACATTAGAGTACAAATTTGTGTGTGGACATATACTTTTTTTTTGGTTGTGCTGGGTGTTCATTGCTGCTGTGAGTGGGCTTTCTCTAGTTGTGGAAAGCAGGGCCTACTCTTTGTTGGGGTGCCCAGGCTTCTCATTGCAGTGCTTCTCTTATTCCGGAGCACAGGCTGTAGTTGCCCTCTGGGGGCTCTAGAGAAGGCTCAGGAGTTGCAGTGCGTGGGCTTAGTTGCTCTGCAGCTTGTGGTATCTTTCTGGACCAGATATCAAACCCATGTCCCCTACATTGACAGGTGAATTCTTTGGATATGTGCTTTTAATTCTCTTGGATATATACCTAGGAGTGGTATTGCTGGATCCCACAGTAAGACTATGTTTAATTTTTTGAGGAACTGCCAAACTGTTTCTCAAAGCAGCAGCACTAGTTCATGCTTCCACCAGCAGTGTATAAAGCTTTAATTTTCCCACATTCTCATCAACACTTATTGCATCCATCGTAATGGATGTGAAGTGGGGTTCTCTGAAGATTAAAAATGTTGAGCATCTTTTTACGTGCCTACTGGTCATTTATATACCTTTTTTAGAGAAATGGTTATTTCAGCCATTTAAAAATCGAATTAGTTGTCTTTCCATTGTTGAATTTTAAGAGTTTTTTGTATATTCTGGCTACTAGTCCCTTATGAACACCAGTCATCGTGTATATCAAATGATACGGTCTTTTTGAGAGGTTTATAAACTGCAAGAGATGTCGCAAATTAACCAAAAGCGCTGACGAACACGGAAGGGAGAGAAGCCTACGGCTCCACGTTGGAGGTCGAGCCCCCAGGCCGCCCTGGCACAATCAGCTATGCAACCCGGGGCCCACAGTCTCTCCACCCTACGGCGCCCCGCCCCCCGCCCTTTGACCCGCGCTGTTTCCGGTTGGAGACGTGGCTCGAGGCCGCCATCTTGGTAAGAGGCGAGTCGGCGGCGCTCCTGTCAGGGGGCAGCAGGTCCGGAGTGGCCGGTCCTCCCCTTCCCCTGACCCCAGCCCTAGCCGCAGTGGAGCCAGAGCGCGCGGGTGCGCCCCGCCACCGCCGTCACCATGGTAAGACCCGAGCCGGGCTCAACTCCCGCGTCCGGCCTTGCTCGACCGTTCTCCCTGCCGCCGGCCTGTGCTGGGGCTAGAGGAGCCCCGCCCCAAGGGCCGGGAGCCGGACACTTCCTCGGGGCTCTGGGGGCTTCTCCACCCTGTGCTCGACTCCCCAGGAGATCCGAGGGACCTGACTGCAGTCCCTCTATCGTCGCGCCCACACTCCTCCCCCGCCATCAGCTAGGCACCCTCCACTGCCGGGATCCGGGCCCTAAAGTGGGCCCGGGGTTTTTGCTCTGCAAGAACCTACCTCTTAGTGATGTATCTTGGACCCCACGCTGCGGACCTGGCCTCTGGTGTCCAGCAGGTTCAGTGGGTGCCTCGGCGCCCCAAGCTGGGCTTCTGTCAGGGGTTCGCTTCGTTCTGTAATCAACTCATCTCTCATCCCCGGTGTTCCGTAGGCCGTGGATGTTTGAAATCTAAATCATTAGTATTGAGGACTTTTTCGTTAGTTTGTTCGAAAAGGAGAAATAGAGGAAAGTGCATAGGGAGGCACAGAACAGGAAGGAGTAACTTCTGACAGCGATATAGTACTAATTGTGGGACCCTGCTGCCCGCTTCTGTAGATCTTAGGTGTGTCCGTTTGTCGGTGTGATTGGGTATACTCTGTGTATAGAGCACTGGGAAGATGCGAGCCAGTTAGGCACACAGGCTTTCTGTCTTCTAGGAGCTTCTAGTTGAGGTGAAGTGTGGATGTGGCATATCGGAGTCCGGTGTCTCACAGGAGTGAGAAGGGGTTTGTTCTTTGGGACCTGTTACTTGCCTTGAGTTGAATTATGTTCGTGTTCTCGTCTGTGGTGGTGGTGGTTTAGTGGCTAAGTTGACTCTCTTGTGATCACATGGACTACCGGGTTCCTCTATCCAGGCAAGAATACTGGAATGGGTTGCCATTTTCTTCTCCCATCCCATCTGTTGTAGAGAAGGTTAAAATTAATGTTTGTGAGAGATGAAACAAAACAGAGTGCTTACTCCACTGCATCTGGCTTCATCGCTATGATTTGTGAATATTTATGAAAGCATCTTCCTACACACTTAAGAGATGACAGTATAATTTGGTGCCAGTTATACTAAGTTCTGTTCACAGCCTTTTTAGATGAAAACTTCGTTGGTGAGGAGATTCAGGCTTGGGCTTTAAATCGCTGAACAGTTTTCTTCAGCTTCAGGCATATAAATTGCATCAAGCAGGTTTGTCTCATAAAACTTTTATGTTGGACATAAAATTTCCAAAAACTCCTTTCTTTATTTCCACTAGGAGGCTTAGTATTCGGGTTGTGATTTTAAAACTAGTTTCTTTTTACATCTTGGATGTACATGTAATGGATTTCAGAGTATACTATAACATTAAAAGCAAAATTAAAGGCTTTATTATATAAACCAAATGTAGATAATCTTAACAAAAACCTAGTTTGTTGAAAAGTTCTTGGGAACGTCATGCTGTTTTTTTCCCTAGTCATATTTTTAATTCATCAATAACCAGAGAGCCCATAGGGCCCTAGGTGTTGAGTGGTAAACATAAAAACATAAACTTTGCATATTATTTGGACACTGCATATACATACAGTTGTGTCGCATTTAAATATGCCTATAGTTCTGAATTATTTGGGACTTGGCAGGATCCAGATACCTACAGATTTGTGTACTCTGGAGAACAGCTTATCTCAGTACATTCTGCACTGTTGAGTCTTAAGGCATTATTAAGTATTTTTTCTGTGTAATATTTATGGGTTCTGTTCCTTTACAAAGAGATCCCTGGACAAAGAAATGTCCAAATAGGGTAACATTTTGCAAAGATTTCTTGAATCTAAAAGCTGTATCCAAAGTTCTAAAAGTTGATCTATAATAAAATTTTCAAACATGTAGGAAAGTTGAGAGCTTTACAGTGAACACCCATGTAACCACCAGCTAGTCTGTAATTAACATTTCAGTATTTTTGCTTTATCACACCTCTAATTATTCATCCATCCTGTGGTCATCATTTTTTTTTTTTAATGCATTTTAGGGGCTTCTCTGGTGGTCCAGTGGCTAAGACTCCACGCACCCAATGCAGGGGGCCTGGGTTTGATCCCTGGTTAAGGAACTATATCCCACATGCTGCAATTAAGAGCTCATACAGCCAAATAAATAAATACATATATTTTAAATGCACTTTAAAATAAATTGTAGATATCAGTATGTAAATGTTGGTTTTTGAATAGTAAATTTCCTTTAGCTTTAGTGACTGAACTTGGTGCAAAATGTCCTACACTGCAAAGTCCTAGTAGAGAAATAAAATGAACAAATGGAAAAACAAATGATTTATGATGACTTTGTTATAAAATCAAGTACAAAAAAAAGATCTTTTTAAAAAATCTTTTTTCTAGTTTTCATCAAGTTAATGAGAACGTCTTATTTTCTTAACATTTGTCAGGTATCGTTATAGTCAGTTTTTTTCCTTAATAAACTTATATTTGAATGAACTTGATATTAAGTCTCATTGTAGCCCTAATCTGTGAAGACTTTACTTATCTACAGAGTGCTATTCTTTTCTTATTTACTTAGTATGGGGAGTGAGTAAATTTATTGTAGTGATCTCATTAAATATCAGTGATCACAGTATGTTCAGTTCCCAAGAATCATTAGTTATTAGAAAGCTAGATTTGGGTTTCTATGTCTGAGATTGGGGTCTGGGACAGCGGGCACTGAAATCCTACATAGTAATAACAGTTCCCAATTAGGGGGTTATTTTTTTCTTTTTCATATGCAATACAGCAGCTGCACACCTGTTGTATTCTTTATGTATCTTTTTGATTGTTGTTTCAGAGGAGAACAAAGAATGAAAATAATTTATTGAGTTTCTGTTGATTTGCCACCTTGTTTATTGTCCAAATAGGAAGTACACTGCAGAAACGGAGAACAATGTCCTTTTATTTTTATACTCTACTACAAGTTTTTGTTTTAGAACAGGAACTTGGTGATGAGCTTAAAACTCTCACTGAGTAACTTCAAGGTTTGGTTTTGTTTTGTGCTCTATGTTTTATTGTAATCTCCCCTGATTTGATATTATCTGTAATCACTTCATGCAAGCAAGAAAGACAAAAAGATCCTGTATGACAGTTGCAGAAACTAGCCGTAATATGATCATGAATTATATAGAGATCATCATTACAGTGAATTACAAAGAACAGAGTTACCAGCTAATTGTGAAAGTGAGGAATACTGAAGCATTTAGAGGTTCAAGGAAGTCTTTGACTTTTTTTTTAGAGAATTGTTCATATTTTTCCTGTTATTTTTGGACCTCTATTGCTAGTGGAGATGAAGGGATGATATGGCAGCTATCTGACACACATATTCTATAAACATACATGTGATTTGTTTTGGTTAGGCAGTTTGCCTTTTGGCAGCTTAATATTAACGCAAAACATGGTTCCAAAGTAGTTATCACTGGAGTGGTGGGTGTGAAATGGAGGCATTGCAAATTTTCTGTTCCTATAATTTTCAAATGCTTAGTTACAGTATCATAAAGATGCAAAGGCACTTTCACATAAACTAACCTCTATTTTGGGCTTCCCTGGTGGTTCAGAAGGCCAATAATCCACCTGCAATGCCGGAGACTTGGATTCGATCCCCGGGTTTGGGAAGATACCCTGGAGAAGGGAATGGCTACCCACTCCAGTATTCTGGCCTGGAGAATTGCATGGACAGAGAAGCCTGGCAGGCTATAGTCCATGGGGTCGCAAAAAGTTGGACACAACTGAGTGACTTTCACTTCACTTCACTTCACTTCAACCTCTATTTTAGGTGTATTTCAAGAAGCAATTAAGTGATGTCCAACGTAATATAATTAGTGGTAGAGGCAGAACAGAAATCTAATTATCCAGCTTTCTTTACTCAAGGAACTTGGATAGGAGAGTGTTGTTATTTAATCCAAAAAACAAATGATGATATATTCAAAGTATTTTAAGTATATTAAGAGAAAAGTTGTCTAACAAAGTTTAACCTATTGGGGAATTTTATTTTTTAAAACAATCCTGAGGAGATCATCTCCATAACTCTGGGCCCAGAGGGACTCCCTTGGTGATCCAGTGGCTAAAACTGTGTGCTCTGGATGCAGGGGGCCTGGGTTTGATCCCTAGTCAGGGAACTAGATCCCACATGTTGCAACTAAGATCTCGCATGTTGAAAGGAAAATTAAAAAAAAATCCCTTGTCAGCTAAGACTTGGCACAGGCAAATAAATAAATACTAAAAAAAAAAAAAGGCAAGAACTCTTGAAGTTTGTTTTAGGTCTAGATGCTCTTTTCCAAAAATGTAAAAAACAAGTAAATTAACTGTATAGAGAATCACACTATTCACTGTTTCCCAAAGAAAATCAGGTCAAATTACAGTAGGAAAAATTAACCTACCTTTCAGTATATACTGTTTTAATAATTGGTAAACACTAATGTGAAGAGAAAATTATTTCAAGGCATTTAAGAAGATGAATGTTGATTTAGAATAGGTTAAATTTATCTTGTTGACCATACCTTCCAACCAAGTTATTAACTGCTGCATTAACATGAATAATAGTGAATAGAAACCTATGTCAACTTTGTGGAAACTGATTGTGATGTCATGGGTGTTTTGAAGTTGAGAGTCATACTCAGTCTTGGGCACTTCGGTCCTGCTTTGGGAGCCTTATTTGCTTGTGTCTGAACAATGGAATGACTCAAAGAGAGAACCTACTATTTTACCCTACTGTTCCTTCGTCTTTACATACTCAAGTTTCCTGATTGATCAAAGCATAATTTAAGTAGTGTTTCTTCCATCAAATCTTCATGATCTTGTGAGCTAGAAGTAATTTCTTCTTCCTCTGAATTCCCATAGTGCATTATTTTACACGTTCTGCCTAGTTTGTGTCTTATCCCTGCTAGGCTGCTGCTGCCTTTTTTTCCGAGGTGTAATTGACATACAGTATATTATTTTCATGTTTACAGCATA